AGATTTAAGATTTTTGGCCTAGTTTTCTAGTTGGTCCAAATTGGGGTCCAAAATTAAACTTTGTTTGATTTCAACAAAAATTGAATATATGGGGTTCTTTGATATGCTGAATCTAACCATGTATTTAGATTTTTTATTTGTGGGCCCCGCTATCAAATTGGTTCATATTGAGGTCAAAAGGGTCCAAAATTAAACTTCATTTGATTTCATTAAAAATTGAATTATTGGGTTTCTTTGATATGCCAAATCTAACCGTGTTATAGATGTTTAATTTTGGGTCCCGTTTTTTAAATTGGTCTACATTAAAGACCAAAGGGTCCAAAATTAAACTTAGTTTGATTTTAACAAAAATTGAATTCTTGGGGTTCTTTGATATGCTGAATCTAAACATGTGTTTAGATTTTTGATTATGGGCCCAGTTTACAAGTTGGTCCAAGTTGGGGTCCAAAATTAAACATTTTTTGATTTCAACAAAAATTGAATATATGGGGTTCTTTGATATGCTGAATCTAACCATGTATTTAGATTTTTTATTTGTGGGCCCTGCTATCAAATTGGTTCATATTGAGGTCAAAAGGGTCCAAAATTAAACTTTGTTTGATTTAATCAAAAATTGAATTATTAAGGTTCTTTGATATTCCAAATATAAACATGTATTTAGATTTTTAATTTTTAGTCCCGTTTTTTAAATTGGTCTACATTAAGGTCCAAAGGGTCCAGAATTAAACTTTGTTTGATTTCATCAAAAATTGAATTATTGGGGTTCTTTGATATTCCAAATATAAACGTGTGTTTAGATTTTTAATTTTGGGTCCCGTTTTTTAAATTGGTCTACATTAAGGTCCAAAGGGTCCAGAATTAAACTTAGTTTGATTTTAACAAAAATTGAATTCTTGGGGTTCTTTGATATGCTGAATCTAAACATGTGTTTAGATTTTTTTGGTTATGGGCCCAGTTTTCAAGTTTGTCCAAGTTGGGGTCCAAAATTAAACTTTGTTTGATTTCAACAAAAATTGAATATATGGGGTTCTTTGATATGCTGAAACTAACCATGTATTGATTTTGGACATTGGACCATAATAGGTAAATTAATAAAATTCAAGTTCTTAGACCACATTCTTTCTGTGTCAGAAATCTATGCTGTGTCAAATATTTAATCACAATCCAAATTCAGAGCTGTATCAAGCTTAAATGTTGTGTCCATACTTGCCCCAACTGTTCAGGGTTCGACCTCTGCGGTCGTATCAAGCTGCAACCCAGCAAAGCATTTTATTATCATTTGATTTTATGTTTGCTGTTACACCACTGTCCAAGACTAGATGGGAGAGAAGGCTACATGCAAACTTGTTTTGCTCATTGCTCATTGTTGAAGGCTGTACAGTGACCTATAGTTTTTAACTTCTACCTTATTTGGTCTCTGGTGGAGAGTTGTTTCATTGACAATCTGTGAATCATACCACATCTTCTTATTTTTCTGTTAACCCTGTTACATTCTGTATGTGCCTGTTCCAAGTTAGGACCTGTAATTCAGTGTGGTTTTTTGTTTCATATACAGTATCATATTTTTATTGTTTTGTACATAAATCAGGCCAGTTTCTTTACTTGTTTGAATTGTTAGACATTTGATATTTTTGTGCCTTTTAAAGCTTGCTATGCAGTATGGGTTTTACTCACTGTTGAAGGTCGTACAGTGACATGAACTTTATAACTTATATATCATATGGTCTCTGGTGGAGAGTTGTCTCAATGGTTATTATACCAGAGGGGCGGATCCAGCCATTTTTAAAAGGGGGGGTTCCAACTATATGTCCCCATTAAAATGCATTGATCGTCCAAAAAAAAGGGGGGGTTCCAACCCCCGGAACACATCATATTTTTATACAAGTGATACAAATCTACATAGCTCCTTTGATTCATGTATCACAGCTTTAAATATGGGGTAGTTGCATTGAAAAAAACTGTTCATCTGATTCATTTAAAAAAAAAATTTAAATGGGCCAGTCATATGGGTATAGTTTTCTCGTTTGAATTGTTTTACAATTGTGATTTTGGGGCCTTTTATAGCTGACTATGCAGTATGGACTTTGCTCATTTTTGAAGGTCATACGGTGACCTATACCTGTTTATTTCTGTGCCATTTTGGTCTCTTGTGGAGAGTTGTCTCATTACCAATCATACCACATCTTCTTTTTTATATTTAGTTTAAATTTTCCACTTAATGTCCAAATTAGGGTAATTGTTTGATTGAGAGGTGACGATCATTTTTTGATAAAAATCATCCTCTACCAAAATTTTGTATAAGTGAACTTACAATTTTATTTGTTGGTGTTTAATGCCACTGTTTGGTTTCAACATGATTTTTGTTGGTGCTGATAGCTTGAGAACCCCGGTACCCAGAAAGAACATGCAGACTGGGCAGGAGAGTTGGCAAACCTTGTCAATTAAAATCATGGTACCGTAGAGAGTGGGCGGGAGAGTTGACAAACCTTGTCAATTAAAATCATGGTATCGTAGACAGTGGGCGGGATAATTGGCAATTCTTGTCAATTAACATCAAAGTCTGATTAACCTTGCCATTGTTAAACTCACAACCTCAGAGCTAATAGAATAGCAATCACTGTAGGTAAATTTCTTTAAAACTCTTGTCACCGTGACCTAAAATTGATAAGTTGGATGAAATTAGCAGTTTACTGTTTTTTTCACAATTTTTGTTTGGCAATGTGCAGAATAAAAAATAAAGATTTTTAAAATGGCGTACTATATAAACAAATGTAAGTTGATATATCATTAATTGATATACAAACAATAATAATATATTTATTTTTATTTTTTCAGGTGATGATACAGAATTTCTATCTGAGAATGACTTAAACAGTGAAACAAGCTCAGTTAATGGTATCATGACTCTGACATTTCCAGTGGAAAATACCGATGTAAACAAAAACTCTGAAAGAGATATTTATAGAAAAAGTAAAAGAATGGAGGAAAGGAAAAAGGAAGAAGAATCAGTAGTCGTGCCGATTGATCCATCCCAGATCAAGACGGAACATCCTGACATCTACGACATTGATTCCTTGGTCCAAACTATTAATAGGAACTCTGAGATTTGTCCAAGGAAGTTCAATAGGTCGTACAGAGACATTGAAACAGAAATGATTATGACAGAAATTACTGGATCCCAGACTGGTTCCCCAGTTCAAAAGAAAAAGTTGTCAACATTAAAAAGGAGTCTAATAGTTCACCTATCAAAAGTTTGATGCAAATGGCAATGCAAAAAGGTTTAGAAGATAGTGACCAGTGGGGCAATTTCAGTGAATTTGATATTGATAGTGTTGTTAATGTTGTCAATAGAAGAGACGAGGGGAGACAACTGGCAGATTGTCATGTAAATATTGTGAAAGTAGAAGACCAGGGGAGGCAACTGGCTGATTGTCATGTAAATATTGTGAACATAGAAGACCAAGGAAGGCAACTTGAAGATGGCATTGTAAATTTTGTGAATAGAGAAAACCATGGGAGAGAACTAGAAGATAGTAATATCACTATTGTGAAAGAAGAAATACAGGGGAGGCAACTAGAGGAAGAGGCATATTTACAGATGGATGATATTGAAGCTCTTGTTCATTATACAAATAGAAAATTGCATTCATTCAGCCCTTCGAAGAACAATACTTCTCAACAGCCATCATTGTCAGCTAAACCTAAAACAATTGTTGGCCTGCGACTGACAGATGACAACAAAGGAAGTAAATCTCCAAATAAAAAGGGAGATTACTCTTTTATGATTATCACCAAAAATGAAAAAGAACTATAAATTAATAGATTGTTCTGTGGTTTTGGACACTAAAGACATTCAGTCTAAACTGCTGAATTTACAGAAAAATGCAGAGTCTGGAAAGGAAGACATGAACAGTAGTGTACATGATTTAAAGAGAAGTGGAGACATTTCTGATTTTAAAAATGTTGCAAAGAAACCCAAAATTGATCCAAAATGCATGAAAAGACAAGACAAAGATGAAGTAAAAGATCACAAAAAGTCTAAATTTGTTATTGACCACAAAGCCAAAGTTTTGAAACTGAATTTATCAAGGTGGGATAAAAATCTGGAAGCAAATGAGATTGACAAAGAAGTGACAAAAAAGTTAGAAATTGAAAATGAAAGGAGAAAGGAGAAATCTCGTCCTAAACATAAGGAAAAATCTGAAAATGAAAGTAAACCGACAAAAATTTCAGTAGAGAATAAAGAAAAAGAAAGATCAGATAATGAGAGTCGACATATAAAATCTTCTTCAGATGGAAATAGAAAACAGGACAAAAAACATGAAAATGACAGTCGGGAATATTCAGACAAACATAAACATTCAGAAAAACCTAAACATCCGCATTCAGAAAAGCATACGCATGGAATTTCAGAAAAACCTAAACATGGACAATCAGAGAAGCATAAACATGGAAATTCAGAAAAGCATAAAAATGGATATTGAGAAAAATCTGAACATGGATATTCAGAAAAATCTAAACATGGACAATCGGATAAGCATAAACATGGAAATTCAGATAGCATAAAGAAGTCAAAGGAGAAAATTCTGAAAAGTACAAGAATTTTCCTGATAAAAGTGGTTCCAAAAAAGGAGATGATGACCAGCAAATAAAATCATCAAAAAATCTAAAGAGGAAAACATTGCCAGTAAAAAGTCAAAGCACGATGACAAAACTGAAAACTGACGAAAAGAAAGATTCCATAAAAAGACCTGAGACTAAAATGATATCTGTTAAGGTAAAGAAGAAAGAAAATAAAAAGGAAGAAAAACTGCATGAACCATCGAAGAAATTGGAGGAAAGCTTAAGTAATGCTTCTAATACTATAGAATTAACAATGAAATGTAAACTTTGTAAAGAAATCCATAGCTCTAAATCAGCATTAGAAAAGCACATGATCAGTGTACATAATACCAAATTGGGCTGTAAAATATTTGGATGTAAACTTTGTACTCCCATCTTTTGATACAATGTCTATATTGATCAAACATATCGAATCGCACAAAGAGGAAAGAAAAAAAAGTGGTGAAGAAAAAGGAAACACAGAAACAATCCAAACAAATAAAAGAGAAGGAAAAGGAAAGACAGAAACATTAAAAACAAAATCAAGAGAGCAAAAAGGAAAGACAAACAATAGAAACAAAAATAAGAGAACAAAAAGGAAAGACAGAAACAAAAACAAGAGAAGAAAAAGGAAAGACAGAAACAGTGAAAATAAAAACAAAAGAACAAAATGGAGAGACTGAAACAAAATTAAGAGAACAAAAAAGAAAGACAGAAACAAAAATAAGAGAACATAAAGGAAAGACAGAAACAGTAGAATCTAAAATAAGGAGAGAAAAATTGGCAATAAGTCATGTAAGTGACAAAAAGGAAGGAACAACCAAAATCACAGATGACATCAAAAATTTCTATCTGAAGATGACTTGAACAGTGAAACAAGCTCAGTTACTGGTATCATGACTCCGACAATTCCGGTGGCAAATACCGATGTAAACAAAAACTCTGAAAGAGATATTTATAGAAAAAGTAAAAGAATGGAGGAAAGGAGAATCAGTAGTTGTGCCGATTGATCCATCCCAGATCAAGACAGAACATCCTGACATCTTTGACATTGACTCCTTGGTCCATACTATTAATAGGAACTGTGAGATTTGTCCAAGGAAGTTCAATAGGTCGTACAGAGACATTGAAACAGAAATGATTATGACAGAAATTACTGGATCCCAGACTGGTTCCCCAGTTCAAAAAGAAACAGTTGTCAACATTAAAAAGGAGCCTAATAGTTCACCTATCAAAGGTTTGATGCAAATGGCAATGCAAAAAGGTTTAGAAGATAGTGACCAGTGGGGCAATTTCAGTGAATTTGATATTGATAGTGTTGTTAATGTTGTCAATAGAAGAGACAATGGGAGACAACTGGCAGATTGTCATGTAAATATTGTGAAAGTAGAAGACCAGGGGAGGCAACTGGCTGATTGTCATGTAAATATTGAGAAAATAGAAGACCAAGGAAGGCAACTTGAAGATGGCATTGTAAATTTTGTGAATAGAGAAAATCATGGGAGAGAACTAGAATATAGTAATATCACTATTGTGAAAGAAGAAATACAGGGGAGGCAACTAGAGGAAGAGGCATATTTACAGATGGATGATATTGAAGCTCTTGTTCATTATACAAATAGAAAATCGCATTCAGTCAGCCCTTCGAAGAACAGTGCTTCTCAACAGCCATCATTGTCAGCTAAACCTAAAACAATTGTTGGCCTGCAACTGACAGATGACAACAAAGGAAGTAAATCTCCAAATAAAAAGGGAGATTACTCTTTTATAATTATCACCAAAAATGAAAAAGAACTATAAATTAATAGATTGTTCTGTGGTTTTGGACACTAAAGACATTCAGTCTAAACTGCTGAATTTACAGAAAAATGCAGAGTCTGGAAAGGAAGACATGAACAGTAGTGTACATGATTTAAAGAGAAGTGGAGACATTTCTGATTTTAAAAATGTTGCAAAGAAACCCAAAATTGGTCCAAAATGCATGAAAAGACAAGACAAAGATGAAGTAAAAGATCACAAAAAGTCTAAATTTGTTATTGACCACAAAGCCAAAGTTTTGAAACTGAATTTATCAAGGTGGGATAAAAATCTGGAAGCAAATGAGACTGATAAAGAGATTGACAAAGAAGTGACAAAAAAGTTAGAAATTGAAAATGAAAGGAGAAAGGAGAAATCTCGTCCTAAACATAAGGAAAAATCTGAAAATGAAAGTAAACCGACAAAAATTTCAGTAGAGAATAAAGAAAAAGAAAGATCAGATAATGAGAGTCGACATATAAAATCTTCTTCAGATGGAAATAGAAAACAGGACAAAAAACATGAAAATGACAGTCGGGAATATTCAGACAAACATAAACATTCAGAAAAACCTAAACATCCGCATTCAGAAAAGCATACGCATGGAATTTCAGAAAAACCTAAACATGGACAATCAGAGAAGCATAAACATGGAAATTCAGAAAAGCATAAACATGGATATTGAGAAAAATCTGAACATGGATATTCAGAAAAATCTAAACATGGACAATCGGATAAGCATAAACATGGAAATTCAGATAGCATAAAGAAGTCAAAGGAGAAAATTCTGAAAAGTACAAGAATTTTCCTGATAAAAGTGGTTCCAAAAAAGGAGATGATGACCAGCAAATAAAATCATCAAAAAATCTAAAGAGGAAAACATTGCCAGTAAAAAGTCAAAGCACGATGACAAAACTGAAAACTGACGAAAAGAAAGATTCCATAAAAAGACCTGAGACTAAAATGATATCTGTTGAGGTAAAGAAGAAAGAAAATAAAAAGGAAGAAAAACTGCATGAACCATCGAAGAAATTGGAGGAAAGCTTAAGTAATGCTTCTAATACTATAGAATTAACAATGAAATGTAAACTTTGTAAAGAAATCCATAGCTCTAAATCAGCATTAGAAAAGCACATGATCAGTGTACATAATACCAAATTGGGCTGTAAAATATTTGGATGTAAACTTTGTACTCCATCTTTTGATACAATGTCTATATTGATCAAACATATCGAATCGCACAAAGAGGAAAGAAAAAAAAGTGGTGAAGAAAAAGGAAACACAGAAACAATCCAAACAAATAAAAGAGAAGGAAAAGGAAAGACAGAAACATTAAAAACAAAATCAAGAGAGCAAAAAGGAAAGACAAACAATAGAAACAAAAATAAGAGAACAAAAAGGAAAGACAGAAACAAAAACAAGAGAAGAAAAAGGAAAGACAGAAACAGTGAAAATAAAAACAAAAGAACAAAATGGAGAGACTGAAACAAAATTAAGAGAACAAAAAAGAAAGACAGAAACAAAAATAAGAGAACATAAAGGAAAGACAGAAACAGTAGAATCTAAAATAAGGAGAGAAAAATTGGCAATAAGTCATGTAAGTGACAAAAAGGAAGGAACAACCAAAATCACAGATGACATCAAAAATTTCTATCTGAAGATGACTTGAACAGTGAAACAAGCTCAGTTACTGGTATCATGACTCCGACATTTCCGGTGGCAAATACCGATGTAAACAAAAACTCTGAAAGAGATATTTATAGAAAAAGTAAAAGAATGGAGGAAAGGAGAATCAGTAGTTGTGCCGATTGATCCATCCCAGATCAAGACAGAACATCCTGACATCTTTGACATTGACTCCTTGGTCCATACTATTAATAGGAACTGTGAGATTTGTCCAAGGAAGTTCAATAGGTCGTACAGAGACATTGAAACAGAAATGATTATGACAGAAATTACTGGATCCCAGACTGGTTCCCCAGTTCAAAAAGAAACAGTTGTCAACATTAAAAAGGAGCCTAATAGTTCACCTATCAAAGGTTTGATGCAAATGGCAATGCAAAAAGGTTTAGAAGATAGTGACCAGTGGGGCAATTTCAGTGAATTTGATATTGATAGTGTTGTTAATGTTGTCAATAGAAGAGACAATGGGAGACAACTGGCAGATTGTCATGTAAATATTGTGAAAGTAGAAGACCAGGGGAGGCAACTGGCTGATTGTCATGTAAATATTGAGAAAATAGAAGACCAAGGAAGGCAACTTGAAGATGGCATTGTAAATTTTGTGAATAAAGAAAATCATCGGAGAGAACTAGAATATAGTAATATCACTATTGTGAAAGAAGAAATACAGGGGAGGCAACTAGAGGAAGAGGCATATTTACAGATGGATGATATTGAAGCTCTTGTTCATTATACAAATAGAAAATCGCATTCAGTCAGCCCTTCGAAGAACAGTGCTTCTCAACAGCCATCATTGTCAGCTAAACCTAAAACAATTGTTGGCCTGCGACTGACAGATGACAACAAAGGAAGTAAATCGCCAAATAAAAAGGGAGATTACTCTTTTATAATTATCACCAAAAATGAAAAAGAACTATAAATTAATAGATTGTTCTGTGGTTTTGGACACTAAAGACATTCAGTCTAAACTGCTGAATTTACAGAAAAATGCAGAGTCTGGAAAGGAAGATATGAACAGTAGTGTACATGATTTAAAGAGATGTGGAGACATTTCTGATTTTAAAAATGTTGCAAAGAAACCCAAAATTGGTCCAAAATGCATGAAAAGACAAGACAAAGATGAAGTAAAAGATCACAAAAAGTCTAAATTTGTTATTGACCACAAAGCCAAAGTTTTGAAACTGAATTTATCAAGGTGGGATAAAAATCTGGAAGCAAATGAGACTGATAAAGAGATTGACAAAGAACTGACAAAAAAGTTAGCAATTGAAAATGAAAGGAGAAAGGAGAAATCTCGTCCTAAACATAAGGAAAAATCTGAAAATGAAAGTAAACCGACAAAAATTTCAGTAGAGAATAAAGAAAAAGAAAGATCAGATAATGAGAGTCGACATATAAAATCTTCTTCAGATGGAAATAGAAAACAGGACAAAACCATGAAAATGACAGTCGGGAATATTCAGACAAACATAAACATTCAGAAAAACCTAAACATCCGCATTCAGAAAAGCATATGCATGGAATTTCAGAAAAACCTAAACATGGACAATCAGAGAAGCATAAACATGGAAATTCAGAAAAGCATAAACATGGATATTGAGAAAAATCTGAACATGGATATTCAGAAAAATCTAAACATGGACAATCAGATAAGCATAAACATGGAAATTCAGAAAAGCATAAAGAAGTCAAAGGAGAAAATTCTGAAAAGTACAAGAATTTTCCTGATAAAAGTGGTTCCAAAAAAGGAGATGATGACCAGCAAATAAAATCATCAAAAAATCTAAAGAGGAAAGCAAATGAAGAGGAAAACATTGCCAGTAAAAAGTCAAAGCACGATGACAAAACTGAAAACTGTGACGAAAAGAAAGATTCCATAAAAAGACCTGAGACTAAAATGATATCTGTTGAGGTAAAGAAGAAAGAAAATAAAAAGGAAGAAAAACTGCATGAACCATCGAAGAAATTGGAGGAAAGCTTCAGTAATGCTTCTAATACTATAGAATTAACAATGAAATGTAAACTTTGTAAAGAAATCCATAGCTCTAAATCAGCATTAGAAAAGCACATGATCAGTGTACATAATACCAAATTGGGCTGTAAAATATTTGGATGTAAACTTTGTACTCCATCTTTTGATACAATGTCTATATTGATCAAACATATCGAATCGCACAAAGAGGAAAGAAAAAAAAGTGGTGAAGAAAAAGGAAACACAGAAACAGTCCAAACAAATAAAAGAGAAGGAAAAGGAAAGACAGAAACATTAAAAACAAAATCAAGAGAGCAAAAAGGAAAGACAAACAATAGAAACAAAAATAAGAGAACAAAAAGGAAAGACAGAAACAAAAGAAACAAAAACAAGAGAAGAAAAAGGAAAGACAGAAACAGTGAAAATAAAAACAAAAGAACAAAATGGAGAGACTGAAACAAAAATAAGAGAACAAAAAGGATAGACAGAAACAAAAATAAGAGAACATAAAGGAAAGACAGAAACAGTAGAATCTAAAATAAGGAGAGAAAAATTGGCAATAAGTCATGTAAGTGACAAAAAGGAAGGAACAACCAAAATCACAGATGACATCAAAAATTTCTATCTGAAGATGACTTGAACAGTGAAACAAGCTCAGTTACTGGTATCATGACTCTAACATTTCCCGTAGAAAATACCGATGTAAACAAAAACTCTGTAAAAGAGATATTTATAGAAAAAGTAAAAGAATGGAGGAAAGGAAAAAGAGCGAAGAATCAGTAGTCGTGCCGATTAATCCATCCCAGATCAAGACAGAACATCCTGACATCTTCGACATTGACTCCTTGGTCCATACTATTTATAGGAACTCTGAGATTTGTCCAAGGAAGTTCAATAGGTCATACAGAGACATTGAAACAGAAATGATTATGACAGAAATTACTGGATCCCAGACTGGTTCCCCAGTTCAAAAAGAAACAGTTGTCAACATTAAAAAGGAGCCTAATAGTTCACCTATCAAAGGTTTGATGCAAATGGCAATGCAAAAAGGTTTAGAAGATAGTGACCAGTGGGGCAATTTCAGTGAATTTGATATTGATAGTGTTGTTAATGTTGTCAATAGAAGAGACAATGGGAGACAACTGGCAGATTGTCATGTAAATATTGTGAAAGTAGAAGACCAGGGGAGGCAACTGGCTGATTGTCATGTTAATATTGTGAAAAAAGAAGACCAAGGAAGGCAACTTGAAGATGGCATTGTAAATTTTGTGAATAGAGAAAATCATGGGAGAGAACTAGAAGATAGTAATATCACTATTGTGAAAGAAGAAATACAGGGGAGGCAACTAGAGGAAGAGGCATATTTACAGATGGATGATATTGAAGCTCTTGTTCATTATACAAATAGAAAATCGCATTCAGTCAGCCCTTCGAAGAACAATGCTTCTCAACAGCCATCATTGTCAGCTAAACCTAAAACAATTGTTGGCCTGCGACTGACAGATGACAACAAAGGAAGTAAATCTCCAAATAAAAAGGGAGATTACTCTTTTATAATTATCACCAAAATAAAAAAGAACTATAAATTAAAAGATTGTTCTGTGGTTTTGGACACTAAAGACATTCAGTCAACTGCTGAATTTACAGAAAAATGCAGAGTCTGGAAAGGAAGACATGAACAGTAGTGTACATGATTTAAAGAGAAGTGGAGACATTTCTGATTTTAAAAATGTTGCAAAGAAACCCAAAATTGGTCCAAAATGCATGAAAAGACAAGACAAAGATGAAGTAAAAGATCACAAAAAGTCTAAATTTGTTATTGACCACAAAGCCAAAGTTTTGAAACTTTGTTTTATCAAGTTTTATCCAACCTTGAATTTATCAAGGTTGGATAAAAATCTGGAAGCAAATGAGACTGATAAAGAGATTGACAAAGAAGTGACAAAAAAGTTAGAAATTGAAAATGAAAGGAAAAATCTAAAAGTGAAAGTAAACCGACAAAAATTTCAGTAGAGAATAAAGAAAAAGAAAGATCAGATCATGAGAGTTGACATATAAAATCTTCTACAGATGGAAATAGAAAACAGGACAGAAAACATGAAAATGACAGTCGGGAATATTCAGACAAACATAAACATTCAGAAAAACCTAAACATCCGCATTCAGGAAAGCATATGCATAGAATTTCAGAAAAACCTAAACATGGGCAATCAGAGAAGCATACACCTGGGAATTCAGAAAAGCATAAAAATGGATATTCAGAAAAATCTGAACATGGACTATCAGATAAGCATAAACGTGGAAATTCAGAAAAGCATAAAGAAGTCGAAGGAGAAAATTCTGAAAAGTAGAAGAATTTTCCTGATAAAAGTGGTTCCACAAAAGGAGATGCATTAACCATCGAAGAAATTGGAGGTAGGTGTTGTTTCATTTTTTATTCTATTGCATCATTCACACATTCATGTAGTTCGTTTCTATGTATGTTGGCGTTTGTTTTTGTTGCACTTCAGTATTTATGTTGTAACCCGGATTTGTTTTCTCTCAATCTATTTATGACTTTTGAACAGTGGTTTACTACTGTTGCCTTTATTCCTGGATTTCAGCAATTCAACATGGCGTGTCACTCCTTAGTTACGACATGTCAATTGTGGATTTGACAGTAAATAGCCAATGAAAAAAATATTTGGATTAAGAATTATAAGGATTGAACACATTTTTTCTAGTGGTTATTTAAGAAATAATTCATGCAAGCCTTAGATATTTTTGAAATTTTTAGCTTTTATCTTACAGGGGGTAAAATAGAACTGCAATACACAAGGCAATCTTACCTTCACTTCAGTTTTTCAAATAACCATATTTGTCCCGTTAGAATCGAAATAATTCATGCAAGCTATAGATTTGTTATCATTTTCACATGGCCTGTGGCTAACGCTCGAGATAAAATTCAAACATAACGGCCAGGCCGTTTGAAAATTTCCAACAAATCTATGGCTTGCATGAATTATTTCTTAATTATATTATATGTGCAACCACGTAAACTTGTTTATGTTTTTGTCAACAAATGATGGTTGATCTAATCTTGACCTTTTAGTTGATGCCATTTAAAATGACAGGGATTATGACATCTGACCTACCTTGTGTATAAATATATATATAAATATGACCTTTTTATGATCATAATTTACATAAATGTATTTACAGATTTTTAGCAGTTGTTTGGTAACTAATACATCACCATATTCAGATGACGAACTGGGAGATTTAGGTCTGCAGGAATTGCCTGAAAATACACCAAGGTACATCACACACTGTGAGTAGCTTTATTATGTGAAAGGGGACTGTTAAAAGGGGGCTTGAAAATATAGGGAGGTTTAATGTAGTTAAATGTCAAAATAGCATATTTTTATGCCCCCACAGTAGGGGAGGGAGCATTAAGTTTTACCCTTGTCCATCTGTACGTCTGTCCGTATGTCCGTCCGTACGTCCCAAAGTTGGTTTCCGTTCTCTAACTTTAGTTTGCCTCTACCAAATGTTATGAATCTTATACACAATGCTTATTACCACAATATACAGATGAAGTTTGAATTTTGGTGATGTCACTTTTACTGTTCTAGAGTTATGCTCTTTACAAATGGAAAAATTTCTGAATTTTTCATATATTTTTTTCTAAATATCAAGTATTTTTAAAATTGGAGTTATCTTTCTTTGTCCATGATTATAGTTGAATCAACTACAATCAATGCTTTATACAATGTAATGTTTGATTTTACCTTCCACTGATAAATTAAAGCAATTTTTACCCTTCATTTCTAAAAATATTTTAAAGTCTTCTTTGAAAATTGGAGTTATCTTTCTTTGTGCATAATGGTAGTTGAATCAACTACAACCAATGCTTTATACAATGCAATATTCAATTTTACTTCCTACTGATAAATTAAAGCAATCTTTACCATTCAGTGCTTACAAGCACTTTGATTACTGTTCAAGAATTATGCCCATTTACAAATGAAAAAATTACGTTTCCGTTCTCTAACTTGAGTTTGTCTTAAATTAATGCAATGAAATGTATATATAATGCTTTTTACCACAAAACTCAGTTTAAATTTTTGTTTCCGTTTGCTAACTTTAGTTTGCCTCAACCAAATGTTGTGAAACTAATACACAATGCTTATTACTACATATACAGATTAAGTTCGAAATTGCTGAATTTTTTGTTTCCGTTCTCTAACTTTAGTTTGTCTCAAACAAATGTTATAAAACTTACACACAATGCTTATTACCACAAAACTCAGATCCAGTTCAAATTTGGGTAGCGTCACATTTACCGTTCTTCAGTTATATCCCTTTACAACTATATGATATGCAAGCGGGGGCATCATCTGTGTCCACAATCCACATTTTCTACATATTTTTATACGACCGCAAAAAATTTGTGGTCGTATATTGGTATGACGTTGGTGTCGTCGTCATCGTCCAAAGACACATTGGTTTTCGCACTCTTAACTTTAGTTTAAGTGAATGGATCTCTATGAATTTTTACCATAAGGTTCAATACCACAAAAGGAAGGTTGGGATTGATTTTGGGGGTTATGGTACCAACAGTTAAGGAATTAGGGGCCAAAAATAAGCATTTTTGTAACTTCCAGACATAACTTGTGTGTTAGTGTATGGATCTCTCTGACATTGTACCACAAGGTTCCATATCACAAAGGGAATGGTGGGATTGATTTTTGGGGTAATTGCCTCAAAATTTTAGGAATTAGGGGCCCAAAAAGGGGCAAAAAACAATCATTTTTCTAGTTTCATGACAATAACTTGTGTGTAAGTGTATGGATCTTTCTGAAATTGTACTACAAGGTTCCATATCACAAAGGGAAAGCTGGAATTAAGTTTGGGGGTAATTGCCCATAAGGTTTAGGAATAAGGGGCCAAAAATAAGCATTTTTCTAGTTTCCAGACAATAACTTGTGTTCAAGTGTATGGATCTCTCTGAAATTGTACTGCAAGGTATCATACCACAAAGGGAAGGCTGGGATTGATTTTGGGGGTAATTGCCTCAAAATTTTAGGAATTAGGGGCCAAAAAGGGGCAAAAAACAAGCATTTTTCTAGTTTCAGGACAATAACTTGTGTGTAAAAGTATGGATCTTTATGAAATTGTACTACAAGGTTCCATATCACAAAGGGAAAGCTGGGTTTGAGTTTGGGGGTAATTGCCCTAAACGTTTAGGAATTTGGGGCCAAAAAGGGGCCAAAAAAACAAGCATTTTTCTAGTTTCCAGACAATTACTTGTGTTCAAGTGTATGGATCTCTCTGAAATTGTACTGCAAGGTACCATACCACTGAGGGAAGGCTGGGATTGAGTTTGGGGGTGATGAATCATAAGGGGGTTCAAAAAATTTTGGGGGAGGGATTTTTTTTTCTTTTTTTCCTTTTTTTTCTTTAAAATTTTC